GAGAGAGAGAGAGAGAGAGAGAGAGAGAGAGAGATGAGCGATCCAAGATTGGTTGTCACTTACCTTTGAGGCGAGCTGCGCTGTCCGACGGAGGAGGAAGATAGCGGCCATAGCCGCGGAGCTTCATCACAGGGCACCGAAGGAGAAAGACAGGAAGGACAGAGAAGGCGGGACTAAGGAGAGAAAGAAAGAGAAGCGTGGAAGGAGGACGCTGGAGAAGAAGACAGACATAGCCGGGGGTGATAAAAAAAAAAAAAAAAAAAAGCAGAGAAAGTAAAGGAGAAGAAGAGTGAAGGAAGGGGAAGTGAGCGGCGAGGGTGACGAAGGTGATGGTGCCGGCAGCCATAGCTGAGGTGAAGGGTTGACCGAGCGTTGACCAGAGCGTTGACCAGAGGGTTGACCAGGCGTTGACCAAGGGTGTTGACCAAGCGTTGACTGGGGGGTTGCCCACGTTGACTCAACGTTGACCAAGGTGTTGACCGGAGCTGCTGACCAAGATTTTGACCAAGCTGGAGTTGGTGATATCTCGCTGAGCCCTTAGCCTATCCCCTTACCCTATGGATGTGCACTCACCCTACGGTACTTGCTGAGTTTGAGTCTGTCTGTCTTTCCTTTCTGAATTGAGTCTCTTCTGTCCTAGGTGTTAGGACTCTATGGATGAAGGATAGGGCCTTGCTGCCAAACCTGCACGGGACTTAGTAGGACTAAGCTCTACTCTGGCATCTGGAGACCTGGGCATGCGCGGCGAGCGCTCGTTAAACAACTCGTCTAGCCCAATGACCGGTACTGTCCGGCAGGTCTACTGAGTTCATTGTAGAGGGTCTGAACTCCGAGCTGCAGGCTGAAACGAAGGCCGTCTTTAAGCGCTGAGGCCTGGTTGAACCACTCCCCTACCAGACCCAGTAAGGCTGATGATCTGTGTCTGACGACTTGATTGTCCCGAGGGATACGAACCCCTCCAAGGACCGGTACAGACCGGCGGGCTGCTCGGTGTGGCACAGTAGGCCGGAACGGCTGAGTTGTGGGCTGAAATCGCCAGGAAGAACTACGCTGATCATGTCGTCCTGACTGCGACGTTAAAGAATTCTTGCGGAGTTTGGGGGATCTCCTTAAATGCCTCCTGATCAACTGTTAGTTCAGTAGTGACAACCTTAGAGTAGTTGTGAGCAGTGGATCCTAGAGAGTCAGTCAGTAGGTCAGTGTGTCCGGGTAGGTCTAAGTGGTGAGGAGTGGGACATTGTCGTGCACCTGACGCCACGATGGATGGCTATCCGATGTATGGGTTGCTGGTTGGGTTCTCTCTTTGGGGGACCCTCTGGCGCTTCCTCTTTCCTCTGGGGTTCTGGCACACCTTCACGTGTAGAGTAAATACCTGGGGTGGTGCCTCTGCCAAGCCATACACGAAGGAGGAGGAGGAGAAGATGGCCGCCATCTTGCAGGAGAGGAAGGAGAAGGAGGCCAAGAAGAAGGCCTTGAAGGAGGAGCAGGCGGCCAAATTGCAGAAGATAGAAGAAGAAATGACCAGAGAGAAGGAGAGGATACAGAAAGAAGAGGAAGCAAAATTGAAAGAGGTGGAAGAGGAGGAAGAAGATGAAACGCCGCTGCAGAGGAAGAAGGGGCAGTACAGTGGCAGTAGGGATGAGGAGATGGAGAAGCGGATCTCAAAGTGGGTCACCAACTTATCCCTGGGCGAAGAAGAAGAAGTGGCGATGTATATCTCTAAGAACGATCAGGAAGCTGCTATGAGAGCTTGGGAAGCAGAAAAAGATGTTGTGAAGCGGCAGGCAATGGAAGATGAGAAGAGAATGGAATGGAGGTTGGCAGTGATGAGGGAGAAGAAGAGGAGAGTGGACGCGGCAGCGGAGGCGGCAAAAAAATTAGAGGAGATAAAAAAGATAGAAGAGCAACTAACCGCCCAAACTGAACTCCCAGCCGAAATGCGAGTCATAGCTTGAAATGTTGCACACCTGGCACGAATTCAGGCGGAGCAATATGACTTTAGTAGGAGTCAGCAAATAGCTGTGCGTTCAATAAAGTTGGGGTTCCGGGACTTTGCGCGTGAGCTGGTAGGCGCTATAGGAACCGAGGTGGGCCACCGCCTCGACAAGACTGAGCGTTTTTGCGCTGGCGCCATTGAGGGTGTCAAGGCGGCAGCCCCCAAGGAGGAGGAAGCACGTCCTCCTCGCCGGGAACCGGTCAAGGTCAAATTCCCTGATTCCTACAGTGGGAAAAGGGAAGAGAACTTTGACAACTGGGAAGCCAACGTTAAGACGTATGTGCACTTGCAACAGGTCTCCCCGGAGCAGGTTCTAATTGTGATCCACGCGCTGAGAGATGAGGCCGCCAGTTTTGCAAGGTCCCTAGTTCGCCAACTGTAGTGACGATCCCGTTGCGTACTCCTCGTTCACGTCCCTCACCGAATTCCTGAAGTTGTTGCGCGAGAGATTCGCTGATGTCGCCCGCAATGTTAAAGCCTCAGATAGGCTGCAGACGATCCACTCTCGTAAGTGGAAAAGTGCCAGGGCCCTTAAGAGTACAATGGATGAGTTAGTGGCTGTCCCTGACCACGGGGTTACGGACACCCAGTTGGTCGGCCTCTTCTATCGGGCTATACCCGAAGCCCTTCGAGGGCATTTCTTCGCAAAGAGCGAAGACCCTGCCACTACGTACGATTCTCTTAGTCGTGAGGTGGTGGCCTTTGAGGCCAAGTCTATGTCAGTTTCCACCTTATGGCACAAAGATTTGGATAAGGGAAAGCAATGGAAGGGCCGCACTATTTCTGGGCAGGTAAAGACCAAGGACAGCCTTGTCCTGACCTTATACGAGGGTAGTGTAGATGAGATCCCCTACGAACAGATCGAGTGTGGGTTAGAGGAAGAGGACATCGGTGTGAGCCAGGGGAGGACTTACGCTGCTGTCGCGGCTGGAGGGAGGCCGCAAGGAGGACGAGGCCAAGGCCAAGGGGGCCGGGCCTCAGGGAGCCAGTTTCAGGGCGATCAGGGGGTTGGCGATAGAGGATGAAACCACCAAGCGGGAGGCAGGGGTCAAGGTCCCCCGCAAAACCGTCCTAGGAAAAGGTCTCCCTATAGGGTAGGAGGATGGCACCCGGGGCTACCACAGGGTAGGCCTTGGGAAACTTTGGGTCTGGACCAGACTTTATGGCAACAACGATTGGACCGGGGCCAGTGCATTTTTTGCGGTGACCTGGGCCACATCATTAAATATTGTCCTAAGTATCGCGAGACCCAAACAGCTGCCCAAGGGCCAAAAGGCAGCCGCCGGTAGGGGTAGCAACTGCCCCTACCATTAGGCCATGTGGGGAACATAGCGCTAGCCGGCAGGAGATTCCCACACCACATGTGCCTATGGCAGAGGTTGCAGGCCGGTGTCTAGATAGTTGCCCAGAGACCGCTTGTATTAGGGTCTCTCTAGACACCTCCCTCACAGGCGTAGCCGAAGAGTTGAAGGAGAGGAGGCCCGCCTGGGCCTAGATGAAGAAGGAGAATAAAGGGCAGCTGATCTTACTAGATACAGAGATTTTTAGAGGTAGAGTAGGGGCCCTAGTAGACTCAGGGGCCACCCGCAGCWATATKAGTAAGAAAGCGCTGCRGAAGTTGARGCTRGGACTTAARGTCCAGAARTTGACAGACCCYATAGTTAGTATCCTCRCAGACAATCGTACYATGGTTGTAGAGGAKTAYGTMGAGGGAGTCCAGGCGTATTTYCGCCTAGAGAARGATGGGARAGTGGAGAAGGTCCTCCACTCCCTRACTCTYCTCGTAGAAGACARCCTCCCATTTGATATTGTYCTGGGAATGGATTGGGGAGAGGCAGCCGGGGCCACGCTCCATTTGAAGGAGCATGAGTGTAGGCTCCCTAGCACTTCAGGCGAGGCTAAGACTGCCCGCTTGTTCCATGTGTCAAGAGTAGAGAATCCCTTGGCACATTGCTGCCTTAGTGCGCCTGCATTCGCCAGATTAGTGAAGAAGGAGAAATTGGAGGAACAGGTCTTTGTTGCCTATGTTAGGCCAGTGACTGAGCCTACGGAAGAAAAGTCGATGGACCCTGCGATTGCCAAGCTGCTAGAAGAGTTCAAGGATCTAACT